CTTCGGCTCAGGTCATGGTCCCAGGGTCCTGGGATCGAGCCCCGCATCGGGCTCCCTGCTCTGCGGGAAGCCTGCTTCTCCCTCTCCTACTCCCTCTGCTTGTGTTCCCTCTCTCGCTGTGTCTCTCTCTGTCAAATAAATAAAATCTTTATTTAAAAAAAAAAAAAGAGTCAGACACTTAACCTACTGAGCCACCCAGGTGCCCTCAACAATTTCAGAATTATGAACAGGCATGTCATTCTAACTTCGTAGTGACATTGAAATGGTCATTTTCAAAACATAAATAAGCATTCTAAAAGTAATTTGAAGTGAAAATTTTATGTGTTTTGTAGGTTGAAATTCTATCAGTCACTTGAAATGTAAATGTATACTTATTCTCACAAAAGTGAAATGCTGGGATGCCTGGGTGGCTCAGTCTCTTAAGCATCGGCCTTCAGCTCAGGCCATGATCCCCCAGGGTCCTGGAATCGAGCCCCGAATTCAGCTCCCCTGCTCAGCAGGGAGTCTACTTGTCCCTCTCCCTCTGCCCCTTCCCCTGCTTGTGCTCTCTCACTCTCAAATAAATTAAAATCTTTTTTTTAAAGTGAAATGCTTCAATAATGAATGATCTTTGTAGAAACATAATTTTCTGCACAAAAGTAAGAAGTATTAAAAAAAAGTATTAAGAAAAGAAAAACGAGTTCCTGAAAACACATTTTGTTCTCACCAAACTTCCAAACAACAGCTTTTAAAAGGATGTTTTAAGAAGACAATTTTTTATAGTTTTGAATCTATCAAGACTAAACCTTCAAACAAAAATGTTTATCGGGATGCCTGGCTGGCTTAGTCAGAGGAGCATGTGACTATTGATCTTGGGGTCATGAGTTCGAGCCTTTCATTGGGTATAGAGATTACCTACTTAAATAAATACACTTTAAAGATGTTTATCAAAATGATTGCCATAGAATGCCAATGATTTCTAGCGTTTGGACATGAAAGAGTTTTGTGATATGGCCAAACTAAGAATCTTAATTACAAAGTTCTTTTTAGGAAAACTTGTTAACTGAAACCAGTTTTCTTGAGTTACAATCTGCGATGCAGGAAAGCTAAGCGATATCATGAAATGTGTAAGTTGAAAGTGACATCTGATCTTGCAAATGGGAAGTCTATATATATGATTTTAAGTAAGCTTTACACGCGCTGTGGGGTTTGAACTCGAGACCCCTGAGATCAAGAGTCCCATGCTCTGCTGACGGAGCCAGCCAGGTGCCCCACAAATGTGAAGTATATTGACTGCTGGTACAGTCTAGCAGCTGATGGTGCAGAGAAAATGATCATTTCTGTATTGTAGCATCAGATGTCTAAGATTTGATTACTAATATTGCTAATAATAAAATTGTAATGATTCAATTACTTTGACTAAATTTCAGATACATTTTTCTAGCCCAGAATTTCATTTTATGATGGTGAGCTTCATCCTCTGGTCGTCATTGGCTATCAATCTTAACACTCGAGCATTTCACCCAGATGTGTGTGTGTATTTATTTACTTATTTTTAAATATTTTATTTATTTATTTGAGAGAGAGAGAGCACAAGCAGGGGGAAGGAGCAGAGGGAGAGGGAGAAGCAGGCTCCCCGCAGAGCAGGGAGGCCAATGCGGGGCTCGATCCCAGGACCCTGGGATCATGACCTGAGCCAAAGGCAGATGCTTAACGGACTGATCCAACCAGGCGCCCCCAGATGTGTATTTAGTTAGCTCAGAGCCGGCTGCACAGTGCCACTTGCGGAAGGTAATGGGCAGGAGCCAGAAGCCAGCAGGGGCCCCCCCGGGCCCCCCAGGTCCATGCTTCACCGCCTTGCTTCTGGCAGGGGAGGCCAGGGAGGCAGCCCTCTCAGGAATGATAGACCAAAGGCGCTAAGCGGGGCCTCTTGCTCTCTTGCAGCCTTGCATGCAGGCACATCGAAGTCGTCTTCTCTCCCCGCCTATGGCAGGACCACGCTGAGCCGGGTAAGGTCCCAGACCAGAGATCACAGACCACGAGGGAAGTGTGCCTTCGGGCACCTCGGAGGGACTGAGCTACTTGGGCACCCTGGGGGAGCAGGGCCGAGTTCTCCAGCCTCCCTCTGACCCCTTCATGTCCTTTCTAGCTACAGTCCACAGACTTCAGCCCCTCTGGGAGTGAGACTGAAAGCCCAGGTGAGAGGCAGGGCCGCCCAATGCCAGGCGAGCGGGTAACGGGGCCTCAGCAGGCCCCAGGGCAGCCCGCGTCTGTGATGTGGGCAGGGCTGTGGCTGGAGGTCGGGGAGGCTGAGCTGGCAGGTTTGGAGGCCTGCTGACCTTAGAGCTGCCTCTGGACAATGATTCTTCTCTCCCACAGGCCTGCAGGTGAGTGCCTTCTGGAGGGGAACACGCCGAGCAGCAGAAGACATGGACGGGTGACTGGAGAGTTGGGGGGGGGTGGAGGGTGTGGGGCCACAGAGCTGCATGGTGAGGACACGAGAAGCCAGGGTAAGGCTGGGGAGGTCTCCCTGCCCCACTCTGGCTCACTGCGGCTTTGGTCTCCCCAGAACGGAGAGGGCCAGAGGGGGAGGATGGACCGGGGGAACTCCCTGCCCTGTGTGCTGGAGCAGAAGGTGAGGGGCAGGGGCAGAGCCAGGGGTGGGGGGCAGGGGACAGAACCATCTGCAGTGGGGGCGGGCCGGCCAGCCAGTGGGGAGAAGCCAGGGACGTGAATGCACTAGGGGGTCGATGATGGGAGGGGCAGCAGGGAAGTTGGGGAGATGGTTGGCAAAGATGGCATGAGCCCCAGTGGCCCTTGCAGGCTGATAAGGGGCCCAGGGAGTTGAGGGGGTTATGGTGACAGGAGACTCTATGGTGACAGGAGGCCCCCGCCCCTCTCCCTCAGATCTATCCCTACGAAATGCTGGTGGTGACCAACAAGGGGAGAACCAAGTTGCCTCCCGGTGTGGATCGGATGAGGCTTGAGGTATGCAGAGGAAATGTGTGGGGGAAACCTGGGGCCTCTTTGAGTGCTCCCTTGGTCACTTGGCCCCGCCCCGAGCCCCTGTCCCTAAGCTGCCTCCGTGTGTCCCCTTTCCAGAGACACCTGTCAGCCGAGGACTTCTCAAGGGTATTCTCTATGTCTCCTGAAGAGTTTAGCAAGCTGGCCCTGTGGAAGCGGAACGAACTCAAGAAAAAGGCTTCTCTCTTCTGACCACCCTTCCCACTCCACGACTGATGCTCTTCCCTGCTGCTTCAGGGCTCTGTAGCTGGGGCCACTAGACCCCACAGCATCATCTCTGCGGGGAGCAGGGCGGGGGGATGGAGGTAGAGTTGGCTCCATCCCCCAGGTGAGGGGGAGCCAAGACCTCTGCAGTGCTGGGGTTGTGAGACATGAACTTGCTTCCCCACAAGGAGCCAGGGGCCCCCTTCCCTCCTCTCTGGTCCTCACCGCACAGGGCAAACCCAGTCTGGAGCCCAGCACACACAGAGATAATGTTTGCACCCTCTCCCCACCCCACCCCCACAGGAAGGTCCCCACAAGAGAGTGACGAGAAAGGAAGGCAGCACTTAGTGGTCACGCATGTTGGCAGTCTTGACCAATGGGTGGGTAGAACCCTCGGGCCTGCTAGGAAGAGGGCGAGGGTGGGAAGCCGCCAGGCAGGCAGCGAGAGCCGCAGGACTCTGTGTGCACCCAAGCACGCCTCCTCACCTCACTTTGGACAGCTTCCCTGCACCTGGGCCTCTGGCTTCCCTGACTCTTAGCAGGAGCAGCTTGAGCTCAGCCTCTAGCAATGAGGTCACCCTATCCTCCAGCTCACCATGTTCTCTCCTTGTGACTCCTAAGCTTCAAAGCCTCTTGCTCCGGCCCTGTGGCTTCCCTAGAAGCCTTGGCTTAGAGTGGAGATGTTGCAGAACCCTGGCCCACCATCAGCCTCCAGGCAAAGTCAGCTAGACTTCTAGCACCCCGGTCCTGGATAGAACCCAGGCCTTCAGGCTCTCTTGGGACGGGATCAAGAGGCCAGGCTGAGTGTCCTGGCCACCAGGTCCTGCCCATACCCATGCATCCCCACCATGCTGTCTAAAGAATGTAATTTATTGGGGCACCCCCCCAGCTGCTTTCTCTCCTCTCTGCCCTACCTTAATCACACTCCCAGCTTCTCTTCTCTACAGAAACATATGTGTATATAATTATATATATATTTTTGCCTGGGTCTGGGTTTTGTTCCTGCCCAGACCCTGGCATCCCTTTCCACTGTGTGTGTGTGATAATGCTGTGGGAGGGGGACTCCGCTTGGAATTAAAAGATTGCATTGGGTCCCCAAATCTATTTGTTCTTTCTGAGCCACCAGATCTGGGTAAGAGGGAGAGGTGATGCCAGGCTGAGGGAAGGCTTGGGAGTGAGGGTTCAAATGGGGAGCCCCGACGGTTGGAAGAGATGGAGACAGCAGACATACTGTCCTTCCCGCAAGCCCGGGCCTCAGAAGCAGGGCTGGCCTAGCAGCGTCCCAGCTGCCGCCCTTCTTCAGGGGCTGTGCGAGCACAGAGGTATGGAGGAAGGGCAGAGAGTCATGCTCTGGAGACTGATACGAGAGCCAGCTGGGGGCACAGCCTGCTGCTTGTCCTCCGCTGAGGCCCTGAACGCTCAGCTTGGCAGTCGAGCTCATCAACATCTGACATGACTGCACCTGCCAGGGCCTGATACTCCCAGTCTGATGGGGGGCCAGACACACAGAGAAGGTCAACAGTGCATGAGTAGGCGGTCAGGCGACTACTGAAGAGCAGGCAGGGAAAACCACTGGAGTACCGACGGGTGAGATCCAGTGGTCTGCGGGTTCAGTGGAGGCTGAGGGAGGAGCGGGTACCGTGGTCTTGGGTGACTTGGCAAGGCCTCCCAGGGGGGCGCAGACAGGGAACTGCAGCGTGGAGGTGGGTGGAGAGGGTGAAGAGCTGACCGGAAGATCAGAAACAGGCTATCGTGTGTGGGTGCCAGCGAAGGAGGGGCCGGCCTCACCTGGCGGACAGAACCCCGATGTGGGCGCACGATGAGGCGTGCTGTCAGAGGGACCCGGTGAGCTGGAGAGTGAACCCAAGAACGGGGACCTGATTCAAGTCCGCTCCCCCGAGAGGAGTTTCCACCCCCTTTGGCTGAAACAAAAGCAAAGTGGGTGAGAATCTCAAATGCGAACAATTACTTTAAGTTGTATGAGTTCTGGTACATCTGCAACATTGTTTTCTCCTTTCAACAGCCTGTGAGTTCCGTAGCTCAGATCATTTTAATCCTTTCAGGGAAAGAGAAGGTTGCAGAAGAGACCGTTGTTCATCTCATCCGAAGCCTGAAGCTACATGCAAGTAACAAGTGGAGACAGACCTGCAAGTTTCTAGACTGCTAACCCAGGACTTCCCCAGTATAAGCAGCTGCCACTCAAGGGGCAACAGGGAGGGCAGACGAAGAGGTGGGGAGGGAGGGAGGGAG